TAGTAAGGCACTTGTTTCTAATAGCTTCTTGTTACTACTAGTAAGGCACTTGTTACTACTAGCGATGCACTTGTTACTACTAGCGATGATTAGGCCGCCTAGTGGTCCGGTAGGTGCACGGTTTTCGCAGTTGAATCGCTTGCACCACAATGCACCATACATTTCTGGCTCAGGCCCAGATCAAGCTGAAGGATGAAGAAATCCAGGATCTAGAGAAGCAGGTGTGGTTTGGAAAGTTGATATCAAGAGATGATGCTGGAAGTATCTCGTGCTTTTTGTACGGACCGTTCGACATTCCTCATCGCCTCCTGACCTGCAGCTCCAAGACAGCAAGTTCCTCTGTACCAAGCTGGAAGAGGAAAAGGACAGGAATATGAAGTATGAGGAGACGGCTCCGATCGCGTTCAGTCAGACCCAAGACATTCGGTGAGCAGTGGTGCTTTACCAGTGTTTGTTTGCGCTTTGAAGGATAGTTGAGCCACCCCAAAATGACCTGCAGACATCGTGTTGCGCTACATCATGGTACATCCCATTCCAGGTACTAGTGATACTAGTGGCGACCAGAATGATCTTCTTAAACTATATCTTCATGACCAGCACATGAAGAATTCACCATTCCGGGTCTGATGTTCACGTTTCCGAATGAAGGTGTTCGACCATTCCGCCAAAACGTGAAATGACCAATTTCGTAACGAGCGGACGTGAATCTCAGGAATTGGGCTGAAACCTGCAAAAGCGATAGGTCCCCCTCAATAACCTTGCTGAATCATGTCCTTTGCTTGACAGCACGACAGCAGGCACTCGCTCGACAGTAGGGACTGAACACCTGGAGCCCGACCAGTCCACCAGTGGCGCCGCGAACGACCGACACTGACACCTAGGGCAATCATGACCCACAGCTATAGGACTCTTATGACCTGATTGCTTTTTGATCCAAGCAGGTTGCAGTGTTTGAAGCAACCGTAGTCTGGGGAAGTCAAACACCCACAAAGCCTCAGGTCTTAATACACACAAGACTGGTTTCTGGGGGCCATTGGCAGCAGTACTTGAAAGAGTAGGGGGCCCGCGCAACTTATCATTTGGCGGTAGGCTTCATAGTTTCAGTTGTCTGCAACAGTCTTTGACCTTTCCTGATGCCTGGCTCAATTTTCACAGCTGCTTCGGTTCTCGTGTCGTCATTGCAATCTCTGCGCGCCTTGGCAGCATGACTCATATATCAAGCAGTCAGAATACTCATTCAGGAGCTCAGACTCCTTTGCTTGCCGTGGAATGAGTCCAACGGCGTTACTGCCTAAGGATGCAGACGATCAAGGTTGAAAGCGCCAAAGACCAAATGCTGCGCGACTTCTCGCAGACCTTGCTGCAGGAGATTCATAAAATCGCGACTTGGTGAGAAGACCTCGCTGCAGTTCTCTCACCCACCGTCCCCAGGGTCTCCCCACTGGTTGTTCAGTTCGGACAGCGTATTGCATTTGGATGGATCTAAGGCAGAACAGCTCCAGGAAAGCTTCAGAGAAGAGCTTCGCAACACGGCCCCAGACCAGTATAGACGTTTTTGCCAAGTTGCCTTACTTACAACGACACCCGGCAAAACACACATTGGTTGCTAAGCCAGGGATGTGTCAAAGGCTTAATAGATGCTTGACAACATGTTTGCTGCAATGTTTAGGTAGAGAGCTCGAGGAGCTTCGGTCAAACCTGGCCAAGGAGAAGAACCTTTGTCAAAGCAGACTTGTGGGCCGAGATATGTTATGGTCTGAAACGATGATGTTTAGCCTGGTATGATTTTGCCGAATGAGCGCAACCTACAAGCCGTGCTGTACGAACCGGTGACGGTTTTCCGGTTCGAGCCCGCTTTTCCGGAGCGACCCGCGGTAGGACCGCCACGCGGCGCAATTCTTCCGTGGCTCGGAGTGCGTCTCCAAGGCGTCTCCGGAGACGGAGCCGTCGGCCAAAAGATGTCCTTGGCGAAGTAGCACAGAATCACAAGCTCGTTGATGCTTGATTTTGCGACTTCAGTCACTATGGGATACTATGGGAATTGATTTGATGGAAGATGATCTCAAGACCTTTCAACATCTTTCTGGGAGAGACATCAAATCGAAACTATTAAAGTCATCCTGATTCTTTCTCGATCCTCCGTGTAGCTTTCATCATCCTTCATCCGTCATTCTATCCATCGAAAGAAGCCATCCATCTCGCCGCTGGACTGCCAGGCGACCACTGAACGAGGGCCAGCGCGCCCACAATTGAAGCAGGCGAGGTTTGGGCGATTTCAGGTGAGGTTTGGGCCGAGTCGTCAAATGCAGGAGACTGAGACATGGATCTACTGGAACCCATGCACTTGAGACAGTTCATGAAATTTCATGGGTGCTTGTGCAGGATTCAGCACTTGATCCATTGACCGGAGAAACTGGACTGGTGGGTGATTTGCTGGATTGGTCGCTGACGAGCGGCCCATACGCTTACAGCTCCGGTGTACTCTGTTTGGGCGCTATGGCAGGCAAGAAGCTTCCACTTCTCTCCACATGTTTGGGCCACGCGCCACATTCGGCGCTACCGGCAGAGTGAAGATGAAGACGAAGAGGACACAGAAGGTGCGACCGGTCTGGAAGTTTGTTGGCCTGTAGTTGAGCCGCAACAGGTTCTCGATATAACCCAAACCTTCAGTTCTTGCATGGAGCGATCGGACGCTACTACTGGGCTCCTGGCCTTACTACTAGGAACAAGGACGCCACTAGGGTAAAGCTGGTCCACTTGACCCTCCAGTGTCCAAAACCAGCTCGTTTCAGCGGCCGAAACAACCCCGAGCTTCTTCCGCCTGTGCCCAAACCTACACTATTTGGCCGAAACAAAAACGGGGTCGGCAGGTGAAGAACTACGTGTCAAGTCTACCAAATCTCGTGTGCCTTCACGTCCATCGACCGCTGCTAGCAGACCGAGGCCGTTTGGCTTTTCGTGTGTTTGCTGTGGAAGCTTGCCGACAGCACGTAGGAAGACACCGGTGTTTTGGGTTCGTACTGGAGGAGAGTGGGGGTAACCGAAGATATTCTTCCCTGCCTTCAGGGTCTCCTTTGCTCTAAGCAAGCAAAGCAGCTGCGATCTGCGAGCCGTCGCCAGCAGCCCTCATCCTCATCGGCCAGTGGTGCTGTTGGGGCAGGATGGCCGAAACCTGGTCGAAACAAGGCTCAAGACACCCATAGACACCCTGAGGCCAAAACCAGCAGAGAGCCACAAGGGATGTATTTAATTGGTGTACACATAAAGACGGAGTGCCACTGTAATCGTTTCTGAGGACCCAGTCTTGTACTTCAATGATGTAAGCATCCATTTAAGTCTGTAATCGGGTTTTCCTGGGCCAGGAGGCCGAGCTGGAGTCAAAGGCAGAAGAAGTTGCTTGGTGAAGAGATATGAAGAGTTTCTGGTGCGGTTGGGCTTGCTTTGACTAGCATAGCGTCTGCTTGTACTTGTAGCAGCTAGCATGCCTTTGAAGATGTTTGAGGGAAGTCTAGCAACTCACAAATCCTCCATCACCGTGATGAGTTTGAGATGATCATTATGACCAACAGATCCAACAGAATCTATCTTTTGGAGCTGGTGAGGAGCATGAGATCGATCCGTCATCTCTTTCTAAACACAGGCGCTTCGACACCTTGGCGATGCCCATCAGCTAGCGCCCCTCAGGTGATTGGTCACCAGGTTCAAGATCCCCCTGGTGTGATCCAGACCGACGTGGATGCGGTTACCAACAGCCTGGACTTGCCGGCCCGATTGGATTCCCAAGGACTCACAGTTCGAAAGGATGAGACTTGGAAGAAACATGGCAGTGGGTCAAAAACAGGGTGACCCTGGTGAACCACCGATCGATACTTGCGCACGAGTCCCGCGCTACGATACTTGCGACGGCCCTTCCCTTGAAACCGGGGTACCGGGATGTTTGTATGTAAGATCTATATGAACATGCACACCCTTCCACTAAGATCCACCGAAAATGAACAGATCCCCTCTATGTGCGGGAGGTCAACTTGATGTCCACCGAAACCATGCTTGGTAGGGATTTCAGTGCCATGACCGCCACAAAATTCGTCGGATAGTGCCATGATGGTGCCATCAACGTGAAGAACTGCAACGCTAGGGGGAATTCTCCGTTTCTTTTTTTGACATGTGGGCGATGGAGACGGTCTTTTATTGATGCCATGGAGACTGGATTGAGGATTCTGAGTCGCGGCCCTGACTTCATTAGTCGTGTTCAATTGAGCTATTTTGAATTTTGCAACGGACACTTGGAGCTACAGATCGACCAAGATCCACAAGTATGGGAGAATGAGCTCTATAATGTTATATATATATAAAGAGTGAGAAAACGGGATATGAGCAACTGACGCACGAGTCCCATATTGGAAGAGAAAGAGACAGAGAGAGAGAGAGAGATGTTTGTTTAGATTCTTGGACCGAGGATAGTAGTGGAGGAGATGGCAGCCAATTGCTTTCTCCCACGCGTGCCAGCCAGCCACGTCCAAAAACAAAAGCTGCTTGGCTTCCAAATGGGTCTGACTTTACCCTTCCCACAATGGCTGAAGTCCTTTGGTTGCTTCGTCCAACATTCTTGGCACTTTGGATGGTAAGAATCAACAAGCAGATAGGTCAGGGACCACAAAGATGAGACGGATGCTCCACTTCCAGTGTATAGGTACGCACTCTATAGCTGTCTCTGTTTGGTGGACTGCAAATCAGACCGTACCGTATCGCCAGCTGTCCGCGGCTGTCACCCCAGCTGTGCACGAGCGGGGCACGCTACGCTAGGCCGTGAGCGTGAGACCAGCTGACCAGCGGCGGAATGGCTGTGAGAGCATCGCTGCGGCCTCAGAGTGGGCCTCTAAAATATGGAAAGATAAGAAATTATGGAAGGTCAGCCAAGACCCAGCAAGTATATAGTAGGGTCTACCTGTTCTAATAGACCCATGTGTAGTAGGGGGTTCGAGTACCTGTTTACAACATTCAGGAACAGTAAGGTCCAGGTGGCCTTCATCGATGCTAGATTCCGGTGCTTCGTTGGTGCGACGCGCTTTGGATTCCAAGGAAGTGGCCATGGGGTTGCGTGCCATGTTTTCCGCCGCGTGGCAGCGGAACAACTCGCGTAGAGCAGAGGTTGTTTTTTTTTGCGTGGCGAGATGTCTTGGCTTCTTGACTTAGCTCTCAAACCATGTCTGTACTGCGACATGTCTTGAGGAAAATCATCAGCGACACCGTGATTTGGGAGGTTGTCGTCGATGGATCTCAAGGAGACGACACTGTCTTTGCGGCGTTCGTCGTTCTGTTTTCAGATTTGGTGTAGTTAGGGGGTTGCTTTTAAACTTGGTGTTCTTGTTACTTGAGATGGATCCCACCACCCAGTACGATTCTCGAAAATCAGCTCATGCAATTCACCTGTCATCGCCAGATTTGTGCGGAGCCAGAAGTTTGAGTACTTGGTGGCCTCTTTGATGCAAGCAGGATGAAATAATGACGCAGCCAGAATTGTTTAACTTGATATGTTTGATTTTGCCTTGATATACCATGATACACCATGATGCACCATATGATATACCGATAAGCCCACAACTTTCGACTGGAGCGAGTTGTCAATCTTCTTTGGAACTGAGGGCTGTGAAAACACAGGTTCCAATCGAAATGGAGGGTTTACGCATTAGATCCATCAACACGCGGGCTTTGACGCCGTGTACTCCGTGAAGAGAACGTTGGCCAGGTGGCAGTGATCGTGACTCACACAGTATTGGTGGGACTTTGGGCTGCAGTGGACTTGTAGAGCATTAGTGTCAACCTATTTATGGACGTTTTATTCAACATTTCTGACATGTTACACCGAGCGCTTGGAAGCATCTAGACCATAGTCTATCTATTTATCTATCTAGTTTGAACTAAGGAGCGCAGATCAACTGGATGACGCTCAGTGGTACTGCAGATCCATCTCCTGGCTTTCGCGGCCTGGTTGCACACGGTTGTGAGAGGGGCGAGGGGTCGTTTAGCCCCCTCTTTTGGGGTCGTTTATCCCCCCGTTTACATGGGAATAGTTTTCAGCCAGCGGTCTTGCGCAGCCAGTCTCACCAGGGAATGTGCACACAGAGGTCTTGGACACACAGGTCTCGGACAGAGAGGTCTCGGACACAGAGGTCTCGGACACGGACAGAGGTCTCGGACACACAGGTCTTGGACATACAGGACACAGAGGTCTTGGCCGCGCATGTATCAGGAGGTCTCGGACATAGGTTCTCGGACACAGACATAGAGGTCTCGGACCCAGACCTCTGACCTCTCAAACACAGAGGTCTCGGACATCCAGGTCTCGCACATAGAGGTGTTGGAGATGGAGGTCTCGGACATAGAGTTCTCGACCACACAGGTCTCGGACATTCATGTCTCGGACATAGAGAGAGGTCTCTCGGACACAGGGATCTCGGACACAGGTCTTGGACATACAGGACACAGAGGTCTCGGACGC